CCAACGTAGTGGGCTGAGGCGTCGAACACGACGTAGCTTTCTATTTGGCTTTTCTGGGGTTATGACCGCTTGGTGAGGCAAATAATGTAGAATTGTGTTCTTCCTTGCCTTGTCGTTCTGGACCGGCTCTATTATGCCCTTGTCGAGTTGGTCCTTTATGACTGCATCGTATTCTGCAAGGAGTTCTGGGTTTTTGTTCAGATGGAGCACAGATGACTGCAGTCTTTTGAATGCTATAGATTTGTTGGTTGGTAGAAGTTGAGCGTTTTCCTTCCATGGTAGATGGACATGGTAGCCGTCTGCACGTCTTTCGATGGTTTCTTTAAACCGCTTGGCAACCTTCCTCATTCGTCCGTATTTCGGTTGTTTCTGGACCAGTGTATTCGTTCACTCCTGAGGATTCAAATCCCCAGTAGTCATCGTATCTTTCCGAATCCAGAGCGATTTCATCGAGCTGCAGTGCAGAGTTCGGCGATTCCAATCCGCCTTGACGTCCCGATATCATATACCCAAATTTGGTCGAAATGAGATAGAGTCCTGAGGGTAGTTTTCCTTCTTTTGCTCCATAACATCCCAAAGATAGTCACATCCTAGAAGAATCTGCGCTGGGCATTGCTTTTCATCTAGTTTAGTAGAAAGATGAATGCCCTTTTTGTTTGATTACACACGCAGGTCTTCCTTTGTCAATGTGGCTGTCGTTGTATGGGCGGTTAATATTGGACTGTCGTATAGATGGAAGGTGAGTATTTCTTCATTTTTGTCCATTATCTTGACTTCCACCACTTTATGTCGATTTTCGGTTACTTCATTTGAACCGAACGTTCTCAGGCGTAGTTGTGCCGTTTCTATTATCGGCAGTTGTAGTTCTTCCACTAGGCTTCTGTCGATGAATGATGTTTCCGATCCCGTATCCAGCAAAATTTTGACTTCCTTCGAGCCGTTTTCTCCCAGAATAGTGGCGGTTCCTGTTAAGAGTAGGGTTTCTGCTTTGTTGGGCTCGCCATGGCCCCTGCTTTCCCTTTTCTCGTCTTTGGAATTCACTTTTTCGCCAAATCGCTTCTGAATGACGTTCTGGTGAGCTACTGGTATGCTTTTCGTCGTTTTCTTAGACGGCGCATCTCTGGAGTTCGGAGCTGGTTGC